AGAAGGAACTGTCAACACCTGCCATAGCGTGGATGAACCTCAAAGAGGTCATGCCAAGTGAAATAAGACGATCACAAGAGGACAAATACTGTGTGACTCCACTGATTTCAGGTCCCTAGAGCAGTCAGATTCATAGAGACAGGAAGTAGACGGCGGTTGCCGGGGGCTGGGGGAAGGGAGAATGGGGCGTTAGCGTTGAGTGGGTATGGAGTCTCACTTTGGGAAGATGAGAAAAGTTCTGAAAGGAATGGTGATGATGGTTGCAGAATAACGTGAATGCACTTAACACCACTGAATTATGCACTTACAAATGGTTAAAATGGTACAACTCATGTTGTATATAGATTCCCCCCCCTTCCCCCCCCCACCCCCACCCAGCCCAAGCAAAATGCCTCCTGGTCAAATTCAGCCTCCGCGATGAAATCTGACACAGGAACTGGAGGCGAGAGGCTGGGGGTGAGGTGGGAGTCTGGGATCCACAGGGTCAGAAGGATGAAGAACCAGCGGAGAATGGAAGAAGGGGAGACTGAGGCTTGAACTTGCCTCCAGCTGCCCATGTGGTCTGTACCAATCAGACACCAAGCCCCATCTTAACACTCTCCCCACCTCCGTCCTGACTGTCCCTGCCTCGTCCAGTCCTCCTCACCCTGCACTGGCTTCCTCCGTTTTGACCTTTGGTCCGTCTTTCATGGGCCTGGGTGGTGACCCTTCTAGAACCCGGATCTGACCATGTGTCTCTCCTGCCTAAAATCTGTCTGCAGCTCCCCACTGCCTCCGCTCAGCCTAGCAGGCAAAGCTGTTCCCAGCTGACTCCAACCTGCTTTTCGTGCTTCACAGTCCTCTCGTTCCCAAGCTCCAAGTTCCTTTATGTCCATAGCCATTTTTGAATACTCTCCCTGTGGCAATTCCTAAGTGTTATCCCTAGTTTTCCCCACAACCCTGCACGGTAGGTCCCACTGACTACCTCTTAGAGATGTGGAAACAGTCTCACATAGTCTAGGTCATACTCTTAGATCTCTGCTCTTTTCACCACATGGCGGCTCCTCTGTCATTCACTCTGGTGCCCCAGTGCCTTTGCTTATGCGCGAGCATATCTCAGCCCTCAGGTCTGGCTCAGAATCACATCTATCCTAATGGGCCCTGACACCAGTTGCATGTCGGCCCCAAGCATTCGCGATCGTGTTTTCTTCATAGTGTTCAGCACAGTTGGAACTCACCCTACTTGCTTACAAATTCAATATCCTTTTCCCACTAGAATATAAGCTACAGGAGTGGGGATCGCGGCTGTGTGATATCCCCAGCACCTGGAGCACACCTGGGTGCCCTGTAGGTGGCGATGAGCCCGCTGACAGGCACTGTTGGGTCCCTCCCAGCCCCAGGCCTGGCCGGTCCCGCCCGTGTGCCCCCTTAGTCTTCGGAAGCTGGAGAAGCTGCTGGTCCCTTGCACTAGGCCTTGGGGTTACTCTTTTACTCTTGGGTCTCCCCCGGTAGACCCCAGCAGCCTGGGCACAGCGCCCAGACGACGCCAGTGCTCAGCCCCCTCTTGTTAAGCACCTGAAGCAATATTGCAGTCTCCCTAGGTGGCATTGGTGTATTCCTGCCTCTTTCTCACTATGGGCTTGGGATCGGGTAGAGGCTTCCCAAGGGCAGGGCCTGCCCTGCACACAGCCTTCTGGGAATGGGGTCTCCCTCAGGGTCAGCCCCGGTCGCGGAGGCTGGTCTGTCTTCAGGAGGAAACCCGGGTCGAGGGTGCCGGGAGCACAACTGTCAGCAGCAGCAAGTTTTATTGCGACCAGAATCTCCCGGTCATGTGAGCGAGGGTGGGGCAGAGGGACGTTCGGTCACCAATGCCACGTTCCTAGTCCAGGACAGCGAAGCCAAAGTTCTGGCTGGCTGTGCCTTGCCTCTTCCCCAGCCCCCAGTCAGGGCATCCCATGGGGCTGAGGCAGAAGGGAGGTGGAAAGGGGACTCCATTTCGGCGGAGCCTTCATCCAAGAGGTCTCAGGGAAGGAGGAGCAGTTGGGGGGGAGGGGTCCAGGTGGCCCGAGATGCTCAGGGCACTCTGGGCTGACTTCTGCACGTGTCCTCGGTGAGCTTGAGGGGAAGGCAATGAGGCACGCTCTGCCCATGAGGAGAGGGTGGGAGCGAGGGAAACAAAGGCTCAAAGAAAAGAAATCACTGGCCAGTGACCACACAGGGGGGCCTAGGGGTCCCGACGTCTAGGCCAGGGCTCCATCCACCCCCTGCCTCCAGCATTCACTCCACCCTGAGCACCCGGCCTGGCCAGCCGTGGTCCTATGTGGGGATCTGCACGTGGCCCAGGTCCTGGTCCATGATCTGGAGGACGTCATCCAAGATGGAAGGCCCCAGGTCCACATGCAGGGAGAGCAAGGAGCTGGCATGGGACAGGAAGGGCTCCTCGGCCCCCGACTCGGGCGTCAGCCCGTTGTGGGCAGAGCCAGCCTCTGGAATTCTCCAGATGTCCACACTCCCTGCCTCCTGTGGGGAAGGCTGTGGGGAAGGCTGTGGGGTCTCCAGGTGCAGGCGAGGGGGTTTGGGTGGGGCCTGAGTGGCGGGCAGGGTGAGGGCCTGGGGCCCCCCGATGACAGGGAGGGAGATGGCGTTCTTGAGCAGAGGGGACGGCCCGTCGGGGAGCTCCCGCCCACACAGCGTGGCGGTGCGGGTGAACTGGAACGGGAGGTCCAAGGTGCCGTCCTCCTCGGGTCCCTCGACCGCCGTCCCTGGCAGGAGGTGGAACTTGCCCTGCAGGAAGGAGATGTCACCGAACATGTCACTGCCACCGCCGCTGCCGATATGAATGGTGTGTCGGAAGTCCCCCAGCGGCGGGCTGATCATGTCCGAGGACAGCAGGTCCCGCAGCTTCTCCTTCTTGCCCTTGCGGCTCCCACGCTTTAGATAGATGGGCACCTTGGTGGACATCGCGATCTCCGCGCCCGGGGCCGGGCTGCAGGGGCTGGGGACGGCGCACCCTCGGGGACCACGGCCTCCGGCTGCCTCTTCTCACCACCTCAGCCGGACACACCCAGAGGGGGGTTTTCAGACACCCAAACCTTGCCCAAGGGCCCAGACAAGGGTGTGGGGCGTGACTGAAGTTGGCCGGAGGAATGAGAAAAAGGACGATTAATGATCAGTGAAGTCAGAGGGCTGAGATAACAAAGATCACTCTCTCCCAGAAGAGTTGAAAATGCTCTGGAAAATTAGCAGCAGAAAGGTGGCGCTCTGGTGGGCAGCAACGGGCTCTCCGGTCTTGTTCTCGCAGGCTCCCCGGTCAGGTCTGGGGCTGAAGAGCTGAAATACCAGAGGTATGAGTCAGGGACAGAAGGACAAAAGTCAGAGGCATCCGTCTCATTTCTGGGCCCCCTGCGTCAGCCCCCGGGAACCCAAGTGGGGCCACTCTCCTGCAGAAACCCTGCGAGAAGTTTGTGGTCACTTATAGACTCACTGCACCTTAGAGCCTGGATCACCAGCACCGAGCCCCTCCCTTTACGAGTGGGGAAACTGAGGCCCGGCAACGTGAGTGATGGGCCCAAAGTCATATACAAAGTCATATCCTGGCTCTGGTCCCTTGCCTGGGGTCCCTGGCTCTGCTCATCACCCCCTATCGCACATCAGCTGTGCCCCAAGACATAAAAGTCAAGTTGTGTGTGTGTGTGCGTGTGTGTGGTGGGGGGAGGGGGTCTCAGACTTGTCTCAATCCCGTACTTGACCAAGGAGAGAGATCTTGTAACCCCTGTCTCACCCACCCTGTCTGTGCCAGACCTGGACACACAGGAGGTGTTCAGCCCGCAGGGCTGAATGACGGACACCTCCTGTTCGGCCCAGTCTCGTCCCACCTAGAAGTGAGGGCACCTCGGAGTTTCTCTTTTCTCCTCCAGGTTAGCAGTTCCTACCTCTGGGACTGAGTCCAACATAGTTACTGTCCCTCCCCCCTGCCCAGCACCTAAGGGGAAGATGGAGTGGAGGGTGCAAATACTTTGGGGGGCTCTGCTCTGTGCCCGGCATTTTGCTAAGTGCTTTGCAAACGCATCTCATTTAATCAGAGCAAGCTATCACCCCATTTCAAAATTTGAACCAGAGGAGCACCTGGGTGGCTCGGTTGGTTAAGCGCCTGACTCTTGATTTCAGCTCAGGTCGTGATCTCATGGTTCATAAGATCAACCCCGAGTTGAGGATTCTCTCCCTCCCTCTCTCTCTCTGCCTCTCCCCTGCTCACAATCTCTCTCAAAATAAATAAAATTTGAACCAGAAACATTTTGGAGGGCTTTGCACAATGCATTGCCGAGGGAGGGAAGCAAAATGCAAAAGTGTAGTAGAGAAGATTCCATTTCTTTTTCTTTCTTTTTTTCTGAGAGACAGAGAGACAGAGCTTGAGCAGGGGCGGGGGAGAGAGAGAGGGAGACACAGAATCTGAAGCAGGCTCCTGGCTCTGAGCTGTCAGCACAAAGCGTGATGCAGGGCTCGAACTCACAAACTGTGAGATCATGACCTGAGCTGAAGTTGGAGGCTTAACCAACTAAGCCACCCAGGAGCCCCTAGAAGATTCCATTTCTGACAACAGTGATCAACTCCCCTCCCTCTACCCCTTCCTTGTATATATATGCATGTGTGTGTACCTACGTATACAGGTCGGCATTGGATTATATCCTAGATAAAAAGAGAGAAGAGGCGTGCCTGGGTGGCTCAGTCAGTTAAGCATCCAACTTTGGTTCAGCTCATGATCTCACGGTTTGTGGGTTCAAGCCCCTTGTCAGGCTCTGTGCTGACAGCTCAGAGCCTGGGGCC